TGACTTTCCAACTGCTTTGAGGTATTATTGATTAATTTCGCAATCTAGGGTTAGTCGTTGATTTAGGGTTTTATGTTCTTTGTGGTTTGCTTTAATTAATTTCTGTTCTTTATGTTCAACCTTTGCGTAATGCATCCATACAACAACAATGACAAAAACCAATCAACTGCTTGTTCCTTTGTTGGATGGAAGTTGCCAGCTTACATGTCTGAAAAATTAAATATAAGATTTAATTCAGAAAATCAGAACCAAAACGCAAAAGGTGCATATATTGGATCACTTGGAATGTTGGAGTTATTGTGATGTATGTAAGGCTGTAAGTGTGGTTAGGCTCATAAAACCTTGAATAAATATCACTAATTACAAAATCTCTCTCCAAATATACTTCTCTTAATTAAGCCCAGGTCTCTACTGAGTGTTGCGCTCAGCACCAGAATGCTTTAGTAGGTTGTTGTTACGTATGTACTTGAGGTCCAAATTACATTCTACTGAGTAAGGCAGGTCTCAATCACGCTTTATCTAGCTCGCTTTGTTTCTGCAGACCTTGTAGAGCGTAGTCAGATCAATAGAACCACTAGTCAGATCAAATTACATTCTACTGAGTAAGGCAGGAAATGCAAACATGTAACTTGGTTGCCTCATTTCTTAGTTAACCCTAGTTCTCTTCATCTGTACAACTGACAAGATGATTAGTTTCTAGGAGATTATTGTATCAAACTGTAAAAAACTCTGGCAAAATCAGTAGAAATTCAAATAAACCTGGAGGCCATATAGGATTGAAATCCTTGGTGTAGTGTAAATAGTAAGTAGGTTGTAGATTAGACTTGCAGATGTAGACTTCCCTATATCAGTTGACTGAAATTGGGCTCATGTTATAAAATTTACTGTTTGCAGGTTTGATCCACTAACAGAATCATACCATTATGACATGGAGGGTACTGGTGTAATATGCTCAGCTGTCTACATCCTCCCTACTGAGTTTGCCAAAGAGGTATGCTATATGTTGTAAAGATAGATTTTTTTTTTTTGGCATTTTATAGCTTGTTTAAGAGATGTTGATGTTGGGTTATTCTGGGTTGGAAAATGGTTATTCTGGGTTATTTTGGCATTTTATAGCTTGTTTAAGAGAATCTGCTTCAGAGTCAGCTTCTGAATCTTTTGTGTCTTCTGTCAATAGATTATCTGTTACCCTATTTTACATGGTTTCCCCTTTTCCAAATTTGGGTTACATCATAATATGATATGAACATCTTTTTTTCTTCTTTGTTTTCATATTTTGAAGTGAATTGTCCCAGAATCTGCCAGAACATCATAATATATCAACTCACTCTTTTCAACAGTAAGATAAACAGTAGCATTATTTTATAGGCAATTGAGAGTGACGTGTGATTAAGGAGAGAGATCGAAACAGGTGATTGATGACAAGAGTGAAAGAGTGAGTGAAAATGAGGACCTGGTTAGTTGGTTTGTTGCAGACTTGAGGTGGCTGTGTGGCATTTCTGCATCAATGAGGTGGTTATTTGAGACTGATCATAGTGGAGGGGCTTTGGTGATGGCCATGGAAGGTGGTGGGATGAGCTCAATGGGGGTGAGGCGTAAAAAACAAAAAAGGAAGTTTAAAAGTCACTAGGAACCAATTTAGGAATATACCCACCAAAGGATCGATTGTTATCAGTTAACTAAAAGGCAGGACAGATTTGAAATTACCAAAGGTAGAATTATTAATATCAAACTCCTTATATTTTAAAAGTCACTAGGAACCAATAAGGCCTATATCACTACATGTATGCCCATTATTTATATTTTTGATCAAAATAGCTAATTCTTCCTCTTAACATGTCATTATTACCTAGTTAGAGGCATCTAAGGCTTGAAATCACATTAAAAGAGCAAGTCAAGTATTTTAAGACGCAATTTCATTCAAAATGGCCGAAATAAGCCCGATATCACTACATGTATGCCTATTTTCTATATTTTTGATCAAAATAGCTAATTCTTCCTCTTAACATGTCATTTTTACCTAGTTAGAGGCAGCTAAGGCTTGAAATCACATTAAAAGAGCATTTGAATGGTTTTGGGAAGCAATTTCATTCAAAATGGCCGAAATAAGGCCTATATCACTACATGTATGCCTATTTTCTATGTTTTTGATCAAAATAGCTCATTCTTCCTCTTAACATGTCATTATTACCTAGTTAGAGGCATCTAAGGCTTGAAATCACATTAAAAGAGCAAGTCAAGTGTTTTAAGACGCATTTTCAACCTAAATGACCCGAATAAAGCCTACATCACTACTTGTATGCCTATTTTCTATATTTTTGATCAAATTAGCTCATTCTTCCTCTTAACATGTCATTATTCTATTTTCTATATTTTTGATCAAAATAGCTAATTCTTCCTCTTAACATGTCATTTTTACCTAGTTAGAGGCAGCTAAGGCTTGAAATCACATTAAAAGAGCATTTGATTGGTTTTGGGACGCAATTTCATTCAAAATGGCCGAAATAAGGCCTATATCACTACATGTATGCCTATTTTCTATGTTTTTGATCAAAATAGCTCATTCTTCCTCTTAACATGTCATTATTACCTAGTTAGAGGCATCTAAGGCTTTACACATTAAAAGAGCAAGTCAAGTGTTTTAAGACACAATTTCATTCAAAATGGCCGAAATAAGGCCTATATCACTACATGTATGCGTTATTCTTTAGCAATGTATGTAGGTATTAATTACTTACTAACTTATGTTTTTTCTTTTTAATTTTTTTATAGATTCATATGTGAATTGAAGCACAAGTTTAGCTTGAAGACTACAAATTTAGCTCAATTGTGGTATGAATTAAGAACTTAGTCTATGTTTCTTTTTCTTGATTCATGATGAAAGTTTTCTCATGCCATTACAACTTGTGTATTGTTTAATGACAAATAAATACCATAATATATAAATGCCTGCATCATCATATGCCTAGATACCCGTTCAAGGCTTTCTCATTAGGAGAAAGTCATGAATAGTCCCCGGTTGGGACTGTTCTTGAACGTTTGCTCTCACTTAGGTGGTGAATGTATGTCTTCTTTTTTCGATTTTAAGGAACATCTTGGCTTAGCATTTCCTCGATCACCATGTTCTCTGGGTACATATGTGGGTAAGTTATTACCTACATCGTGTACTTGGAGAACTGTGGGGAAATGCTGTCGGATTTTCCTTAAAATTGGAAAGTCGACATACATTCACTAGTGAGAGTAAACGTTCAAGGATGGGTTAGGTTGGAGCGATAAGGACCCTTTGGAAGCATATATGCATTATTGTATCTATATGAATGTTATATGCATGGTGTGTGTTTGAATTTGATTTACATATATAATAGATGTAGCAATTATACATTATTCGTAATATGTTGCCATGTTTAGAGGCAATTTACTTAATGGAGAAGGATCGTGGCTGGATGTATTTATAATACAACTACTAACGTGTTATGATTGTTATGGCAGGTGATTACATCTCATGGCGGACGATCAGGACCGTGTTTGTGTTGAGGATGTAGAGGATGATGATGATGACTTATCTGAGGATGGTGATGAGTTGTATGATGTGAACAAGGAGCCTGATTTAGGTGAGGCAGAAGATCAGGCTCAAGATGAGTTGGAGCGTAGGCTGGATGCATTTGAAATGGAGGCTGAACAAGCGCCTCCTATTGAAAATGCAGCTTCTGAGACGGTTGGTGAGAACGCTACTTCCCACAATCAAAGCCAAGGACAAAGTGGAGGAGGGGTGAGGGCACCGGCTAAGAAAAAGGTGAGGGGTCCGACGACAAGTTTCAAGAAACCCGTCGGTCCCATGGTCCTGGAGTTCGACAAGGCGAGCCAACCTGTAGGCAAATTCCGTCGTCCATATGCTATTCACGTTGGCATTTGTGCGCGTAAAATCCCGATTACACTTCGTATGCGGGAAGTACCTCCAGGCTTGATTGACACATTTTGGAATGATACAAGGGCAAGTGTTTTATTTGTATATTTATACAATTATAAATACCTTTACTTTAATGTTATGTAAAAGGGGAAACTATTAATCGACTTTATTTGTGTTTGCAGAGTCTGTTTAATATTTCTAATGATGCCGCCAAGCGAAGGGTGTTTGAATCTTTGCTAGCGGAAAGATTCAGAGGCTTCAAGAGCGAATTAGTTCGTTGTTGGATTACAAAGAGGAAGAAAAAACCAAAGAAGAAGAAAGGCAATGATGATGAAGTCATCAATGAAGAGCTACTCCCATGGCAAAAATGGCCAAACATATCGAAGGATGATTGGGAAGATTTTGTTATTCAACAAAGTACAAAGGAAGCAATTGTAAGTTTAAGTAAATTTGATTACAATTGTATAATATATTATCTCTTTTTGAAGTAATAATACTAACAATTCTAATTATGTAGGAACTGAGGGAGCAAAATTCCAAAAATGCAAAGATGAAGCAATACACCCAACGTATGGGGTGTAAGACATTTGGTGAATGGAGGGAAACGTGGGTCAACGAAGGAGTATACCCCACTTTGCTACTAGGGTTGTCCGAAGGACCCTCTTCTTCTTCCACGATCATTACGCTGGTGAGTCGTGCTGGTGATTTCTTCTGTTCACTGCATGCGCGTGACAAGGAGACCGGAAAATGGGCCATCAAGGCTCCGGAAACCAAAGAAATGGCTGATAAGCTCGTAAGTAACTACAAACTTGAGAACTCTATGAATATTTTGCATAAATATCACTTATGGATGCTATTGGTTTCTGTTTTTTTTATGGCTACAGATTGAACACACTGAAGAACTGGTTGAAGGCAAGCTCGTCCCAAGTGTAGAAAAAGACCCTTTCACCTTGGCTTTGGGAAAGCCCTACCATCCAGGACGGGTAGTAGGTGCAGGAGGGTCATTGCTAGGGTGGGAAAAGGTGATGGGTCCAGAGTATACCAAATCAGGAAGATCCCGAGCAAGTGTAAACTCACCTCATGACTTGGTTTCCACGGTGGAATCGATTAAGGAACAAGTCCGCAACGAGCTCGTAAGTGAATTTAACGCTTGGGCGAAGCAAATGAACCTACCGAGCTTGCCTTTCCCCTCGAATACACCCGTCGACTCATGTAGTCACCCAAAAGGACAAGGGGAAGATGATATACATGGAGACGATGATGCAAATGAGGTAGTTTTAAAACTTTTAGTTTTGGCATATTGAGTTATGTAGGATCTAAGGTGGCAGTCATTAATTTCTTGTTGCAGGGTGGTACGCCTACACATGCGGACTCGAGGGAGCTCGATAATCCAGCACCTCATCATTTTCCAGATTTACAGGTGATTTTGTTTAGTTCTATCTTAGTGAATATGGGCACATTATCAATCTTAGTGAATATGGGCACATTATCAATGATCCCTTGTGATATGTTTGGTTCTAATAACTGATCTTTCCAATTGGTGTAGGAAGAGACCCGTTGTGCACTACTACACCCGGACGAATCTGGAGCTTTGAATGTGGTTGCATATGGTAGTGCACAACCGGCCGATCAAGGTACGGTCCATTTGCGACCGCTTAGGCCACAACATTGCTCGGTTGGGATCAATTCTGTTACTACCGGGTTCGAGAACATCCTAATACCGGTGCCAATAGAGGAGGAGTAGTTCACTACACTTTGGGCAGCAAAAGGTAGCTTTGTGCAGTGGCCATGTACTTGGGTAAGGTTGATGAACCAGGTAATTAAGATTTTGGGTTCGTTCGGTACTTTATGCCCGGTTGTTTTCACAAGAGTTAGATGGATTTGTCTTTTCTAACCAATTGCGTGATTTTTTGTATTAGATTTCGCAAAAAAGACAACCTTCAAAGAGGAAGGTGGAACAACCAATAAGCGTTGATCAACCGGTGCCAAAGAAGAGGAGTGAACAAATGTCGGAGAGTGAAAAAGGGTCGAAGAAGAACTCTTCGAGAGGTTCAGCTTTGCAAGCTACTCCACTTGTTGCTGACACGGTCCTTCAAACGTTGTCTAAGGATTTAATATTTCTACACAACCGTGTTAGCATGTTGCCTAGTGACACTCCCATTCAAGTTCCACTACCTAAGGCAATGTTCCACTTTGATGAGGATGCAGTTGCATGGCTTAGCAAAGAAGATGTGAAAGAATTTCTAAGTGGTTCAATGCTTAACATCTCCCTCGTTCAAACATTCATGAGGTAATTTAATGCCAGACACGATTATGTTATTCAGATGCTCGGTGATTGCTTGTCATTTAATTTCCCATTCATATTTTGTTACCATGCATGCAGAGCACTACAGGAGCACTTACTTGAGATTGATTCTCCGTGTCAAGGAGGGTGGTTGTGCCCCGAGCAAATCTCCACTACGAGAATCTTAGGCAACTACCCTGAAGTGTTGTACTATGTTGAACGGGGTATCAAGGAATCATTGCGTGTGGGTGACAAGTTCATATTCGCCCCATGTTTTGAGGAGTACGTTTGACCATGTCAAATTCATTTGTTTCCCCTAATTATATGTTGTACACGGCTAATTATTGACTTGTTTGTGTATTGTCCATTTCTGTAGTGCACATTGGACCCTGCTGGTGATTTGTGTTCCCAGTAACACCATCTTCCTTTTTTATTCAGCTCGATTGCCTCATCCGAAAAAGCTCCTCGTGAAGTCTATACTGCGAAAGTAAATATAGCTATCTAGTGTTGATTATCCTTACTTAACTCATTTATTATATTAGTCATACTAATCAAGTTTGAACTTACTTTTCTATAGTGCTATGAAGAAGATAAATTGTCGAGCTCCTCAAGGTCCTACATGGAAATCACTGATGGTAATGCTACATGATTTTGTGATTTTTATAATAAACGATGCAAAAGATGTTGCTAATTTGTTATGCATGTTTGATTCATTTACTATGTTCCTATGCTAGTGTGCACAACAAGATAAAGGGGTTGATTGCGGACTATACGTGATGAGATTCATGTTGGACATAATGACTCATTGCACAGACTTACAACAGCTTGATGAGGTATGCCATTGACTTAGTTAATTTGCTTTTGTGGTGTGTTTTGATAAGAGAAAACCCTTGAAACTGCGTCTTAAAACCCTTGAATTCCTCTTTTAATGTGATTTCAAGCCTTAGCTGCCTCTAACTAGGTAAAAATGACATGTTAAGAGGAAGAATGAGCTATTTTGATCAAAAACATAGAAAATAGGCATACATGTAGTGATATAGGCCTTATTTCGGCCATTTTGAATGAAATTGCGTCTTAAAACACTTGACTTGCTCTTTTAATGTGATTTCAAGCCTTAGCTGCCTCTAAATAGGTAAAAATGACATGTTAAGAGGAAGAATGAGCCATTTTGATCAAAAATATAGAAAATAGGCATACATGTAGTGATATAGGCCTTATTTCGGCCATTTTGAATGAAATTGCGTCCCAAAACCATTCAAATGCTCTTTTAATGTGATTTCAAGCCTTAGATGCCTCTAACTAGGTAATAATGACATGTTAAGAGGAAGAATGAGCCATTTTGATCAAAAATATAGAAAATAGGCATACATGTAGTGATATAGGCCTTATTTCGGCCATTTTGAATGAAATTGCGTCCCAAAACCATTCAAATGCTCTTTTAATGTGATTTCAAGCCATATCTGCCTCTAACTAAGTAAAAATGACATGTTAAGAGGAAGAATGAGCTATTTTGATAAAAAAAAATATAGAAAATAGGCATAGAAGTAGTGATATAGGCCTTATTTCAGCCATTTTGAATGAAATTGCGTCCCAAAACCATTCAAATGCTCTTTTAATGTGATTTAAAGCCTTAGGTGCCTCTAACTAGGTAATAATGACATGTTAAGAGGAAGAATGAGCTAATTTGATCAAAAATATAGAAAATAGGCATACAAGTAGTGATATAGGCCTTATTCGGGCCCTTTTGGTTGAAAATGCGTTTTAAAATATATGACTTGTTCTTTTAATGTGATTTCAAGATTTAGCTGCCTCTAACTAGGTAATATTGACATGTTATGAGGAAGAATGAGCTATTTTGATAAAAAAATATAGAAAATAGGCATAAAAGTAGGGATTTGTTAAACATCGCCCACAAATTACTACATAAAGCCCACAAAATTCACTTGGTTTGACAAAATTGCCCTTGACCTTAAAAAAAACACTCACACTCTCATCACTCACACTCTCATTGCTCATCTTCTTTCAACCTCTCTTAAAAAAAAAAAATTCAAACAACGGCAATGTCGAGGCGGCAAGGCAAGGAATTGGCGGCGGCGGCGGAGGGAAGGATGTCCCAAGGAGGCAAGGTACAATTTGTAAAAAAAAATAAAAAAAATAAAGGGAAAAACCGCCGTGACGGCGGTGGGGCGCCCTGGCTGGACGCCCAGCAAGCGGTGGTGGCGCCAGCTGCAGACGCCGCCACCAGTTGGCTGGCACCTGGGCTGGACGCCATAGCCACGGTTGTGGCGTTTATTCAAGGCGCCGCAGCCGTGGCTGTGGCGTCCAGCCCAGGCGCCAGCCCACTGGTGGCGGCGTCTGCAGCTGGCGCCACCACCGCTGGCTGGGCGTCCAGCCAAGGCGCCCCCCCCCCTTTTTTTTTATATTTGTTTTAAAATATTGTTTTTAATTTTTTTTTTGTTTTTTGTGTAATATATTTTTGAATTGTTTTTATATTTTGTTGTTTATTTTTATAAATTTTTTCAATTTCGTTGTATTTTTTCTATGTTTATATTTTGTTTACAATTATTTGTATGTTTTTAGTTTATTTGATTTGGGAGTGGTAGCTATTTTTCGTATAAATTTTTGTATGTTTATATATTTTAAAATTTTGTGTAGAATTCACTGGGTCGTCATGGTGCGGGGAAGAATGTAGAGCTTCTTAGTAGAAGCTATTCAGTGGAGAGGTCGGGGCATAGACATGTCAGATCCCGTGGTATTTCGGCCTCAGCTCGTAGAGAACGGATCCACCGTCGGGATGAGGATGACGATGACGATGATGATGCTGAGGAGGGTGACCAGGAGGAGGAGCAGGAGGAGGGCGCAGATGAGGATGAGGATGTGGACGATGGCAGTGGACCGTATGATGATTACGGTCCATTCAGTCAGAGGGTTGATGACATGTACGAGACACATATGGTGGAGGTGCGTAAGGGTAGGGGTGGTAGGTTTGTTAGTAGATCTGGCACATCATCTGCGTCCACTGTATCTGGGGCAAGCAGGAAACGGTCGAGGGCCGGTAATGATTCTTGGGTTGTTAGGAGTGAGGTGCCCGGTGGGCCTGTTGACGGGAGTGTGATTCCTAGCTTTCTAGGACACATAGCTGCCCGTATTTGGGAGGACCGGGAGAGGCCTTCAGTTACGGGGTTGTTGAAATGTCATACCCGGGAAAAGACTTGTAGCTTTTTGCGTACATGGGCTGAGGCTTGGCCGGCGGAGAGCGAGATGTTCGAGCGACTGGAGGGCACTGGGGTGAATCACGTTCCTGCCACCATGCACGATAAGATTGACAGTACGCTGATCACGGCTTTCATTGAGCGATGGCAGCCGGATACAAACTTTTTCCACCTTCCGTTCGGTGAGATGACGATCATGTTACATGACGTCGAGGCCATTCTGGGGATTCGTGTTGAGGGTAAACTGGATGCCTTTCGGCCCGAACCCTAGTGTTAGGGTACCCAGGACCCTGTACACGGGACTCATTCAGTATCGTGAGATCGTCGAGGCGTACATGCCCCAGCGTTGTCTTCGCCAGCTTGGATTTGTCCAAGTTGTCCCTCCTCCCCCGGCATGCCCGATGAAGGCGGTCCGACCTGCATCTTCGAGGGACTACGTCGTGCAATGGCCGGATATCATGACCGGGACGTGGGACCAGTTTCCGATGGTGGCCCGCGTATGGACTGCGGAGTTGCAGCGGCCGCCCTCTGGGGTTACTCCCATGTGTGACCATTACTACATGGAATGGTTCAACCGGTATTCGCACCCGAGGTTGATCGCAGATCTCGACCACAACGATGATGATTATGTGCCACCGCCTACTGCCATGGAAGCGGTATGTCTTATATTATATTTATCGTTGTCTTTTAATTAAGTTTTATATGTTGTTATTGTATTTCATCTTCTGTTTTTTGTTGTATGCAGTGGATGGGAAAGATAATGCAGGACGTACAGAAACTCTCTCTTGAGAAGGACAGCATGAGTGCAACAGGGAGAGCTGTTGTTGATAGTCTGGAACAGACCCTTGCGCAGTGGGAGTCGTCGTTGATGAGGGATTACTGATGGTTTTGTCATTTTATTTATAGAGCACTTTAAATATCATCGTTTTAATTTATTAAATTGGACATTATGTTGTAAGTTTGTAACATTTTAGATTGTTCTTTTAGCTTCCAACTTAATCATTGCTGTTTTTAAATTTTGATATAACCGTTCGTGGATCCGCGCAACTTACCCATGCAACATATAGAAT